CGAGAAGATTCTAGTTTCTTTGTATTCTAGCCAACATCTTTAACTTTCTATGTTTTTAAAAATAATAATCATCCTAACAGATATGAGGCAGTATCTCACAGTGGTTTAAATTTGCATTTTTCTAAATTATAGAAATATTACTAACCTTTTTCTATGATATTTGGCACGATATGTTTTCAAGTATTCTTTAATTTGAGAAGATGACAATTTCTTTCTCGCAAACAATAACATAAAAAGAAATTCTGGTAAATATTGTAAGGTACAGTGTTATTAAATACCACCCAAAGTTCAAAGTACTGAACTACCCAAAGTTCAAAGTGCTGAAATATTACCATTCTGTTCTAGTTTTCCAGTTAATCAAAGACATTACTTTGAAAAGTACTAATATTTGTTAATCTTTCATCTTTTGCTCTCTCAAATTACATTTTTTTAAAATTACCAAGTACTTTCAAACAACTATCAACTTGTTTTTCAAAGATTTTATTACAAGTTATCAGAGAAATATATATCCTTTCTCTATCATGAGATGAGAACAAGAATAAATATGCTGTCCTGAAGAGGCAGAAGAGACAGTAAATGATTCCTTTTGCCAAGGTCTCTGTGGTTCTTGCACTGTTATAGTTATAAATATTCACTCGAACTGTTTATGAGTAAGTATTCTGTATTAGGCACTGGAAGCTCAAAGCAGAAAATGAGACTGTTCCTCATCTAAAACAAACCTCAGAGCCAAGAAATCATCAAGTTCAGCATGTATTGATATTGAAAGAAATTAGCCCAACATCTCCTGGGAGGATAGAGAAATAATGAAGAAAAATATAGAACATGGAAGGAAAGAGTTGTTGGATATAAGATCAGGTAGCAAGGTGGATAATTAGGGCACTTTGGAGTATTCTAAGATATCAAATGCATAATTGAATCTTTCCTATAAATTGTTTTAAATCTACCCTTAAATCCTTTTCCCTTTCCATTTTTAACTGATATTTTTGGTCTACATACTTGTGTCTCAATAAATTACTTGAATGATTCATATTGCAAAAACCTAAATACTTAATTGTTTATTGCTTGAATTTTAGACAGATACAAACAAGGTGATACTTAACTACCTGATTTTACAATCATGATCTTACAAAACAATTTTCTGTATAATTTATTTTCACTAAATTTACATTTCATTGTTACACTGAAGGGAGAAAATTAATAGTCTATTAAGTTGTTTCACATCTTATAAAAGGTTTTAAGTTATATTCATTTTTATATCATTGCTAAGGAAAAGACTTCCTTGGGAATTTTCATTCTCATATTTATTTAGCCTAAAGACATTGATGAGAAGGGGCAATATGAAGAGGAAGTTTCCTTGTTATTTGGGTTTGTGACTTGAAAATTTTAAATTAGCTGTGAGTATGATTTTGCTTCTTTAAGGAATTGGGCCTGAGCTAAAGAAAGCCCTGAAGGAAGTGTGTTTTTCAAGTTCTGATGGCATTTGAAAGGAATTAATATCAAATAATTTCTGATTTGCTATCTGGTGAATTTATGAAGAAAAGTTCTTTTGTGCATCTGAGCATACTGAAATGTATGGAATTGAAGTGATTTTTCCAAAGAAATACAGTTAGTATAAAAAATTGCAACATAACCAGACACACAAATAGGTCTTCACTTAGTCCAGTGAGTTAGTTACAAGGAATGAAAGGCATGTAGCCTCTTTGCAAGGCTTACTGAAAGTTGATGATTTTTAAAATATATGCGTATTAAGCATTCTGCTTGAGTTTAATTTCTACGTATGAAGTTTGTTACTATACTAAATATGTTCAATAACTGCAATCACACTTATCTAGAATTTTATTTCAACTGAAAGGCTTATGTAAATTGAGATGAATGCAAAGAGACAGTAGGGAATGCATTCAGAGATTGAAATTGCAAGCAGAACTAACAAAAACAAGGAAAAGTTTTCCTTTTGGAGTCTTGCTTTCTGAGTTTCATTTTCTCTCTCTTGTCTTTCTACTTCTGGTTATAAAGGCAAGTGTGTTCTAATTTTCTTGATTTTTTAACCAAAGTCATTGGGGTCAAGCTCTTAATTAAGATTTCTCCTTTTAGCAATTTGAATTCTAAAGAAAATGAGAGAAAGGAGGAATCCAGTTGCTCAGATCTATCAGTTACACTCTTTTTATTTCTACTGAAAAACTTACATTTTAAAAATGTTCTCCATCATTGGTGACAGAACTCTGTATTGTTTTATGAGAGTCTGGGTTCCACAGCCACTTTAACTGCAATCTTCACATTACTATGAACTTGTCTGTCTGTCTGTTTGTTTAAGACTTTATTTTTCTAAACCAGTTTTAGTTTACCAAAGCTGGTCCTGTTTTAATAAATAAAGTATCACAGAAAGTCACATGTCTGACTGCTGTTAGGCAGTGGTATACCTTAAGTAGAATCTCTCCTTTAACTCTGGCAATAGTTCTATAAAATAGATATGGCTATCAATCCTACAAGCTTTCACAACTTTGACAGAGAACTAAAGTTGTTCTAGGACTTTTTGCCTCCAGAGTCTATATTATTGGTAATATGCAGCTGATATTTCTTTTGCTCCATTAAGAGAGAAGCCACACACAGGCAAAGTGTAGCCCTTATAACATTTCCATCTCTGAGCCAGTGGCTATCTGATAGTGTTAGCAGCCTTCCACCACTCTCCTGCTGGAAGCCCTCAGGAACCTTTCCTGTGATCAGAGACCAACTCTGTGGCAGCGCCCCTTTGCTGTCCATGATGCTCTAGTTGCTAGCAACCATTGGTGTTACCAGTCCTGGTTGCTGGCCACTCTGAGCTCCAGCGGCCTTTGGTGTTACCAGCTCTTAGTGTTTTCAGCTCAGTCTCCCATACTTGAGAACGAAGTCATGCATAAGTAAAAATATGTCACTTTATTAGGCTTTATTAGCTTGTATTACAGCATAAAGGGAAATAGTGCACTACTGACCCACTAATGGTAAGAAGAAAGTTGCTTGTCTAGGAAAAAAAATGACAAGATTGGGTATGACCAGTGTCAGACTTTCTGTTTAGACTTGGGGAAGGGAAGCCTCCTAACAGCCTGACTGAGGATGGACACAGAGGGGCAGAGTCATCCAGAGGTTTGGAGAGCGGAGTCCTCTGGAATGGTCACGCGTGAAGGAAGCTTGTGGCAGCCAAAGCAAATGTCTCCTGGAGTGGCCATAAGCACCTGATGTAGTTCTGGCCAGCATTTGGCACAAGAACAGAAGGAAGAAAAACAAAATAAAAATATCATTTTAGTAATATTGGGAACTTATCTATTGTCTAATTATCAATGTTTTATGAAACTTGTTCCCTAATACACGAAACACAGTGCTTTCCACAGAGTACAATTGTCTCTGAATGTTGAATTGGATGGATGAATGGAATAGCATTCCTTGTTTAATGCAGTTATAGTAAGGAGTCAAGAAATAACCATTTTCATATTAGAAGAATAAATGTGATCCTAAAATGTTAATTTCTTAATTACTCTTTCTCCTGTCAGATACAATCTGGTATTTTAGCTTATATATCTTACTGCTACACAGACATTTCAGCCTTCTTATATTATTAACCTCAACCTCCCTGACACTTAGGTGGAAAATGAAATATTATCAATAATCTTTTCTATATAATATGGTGAATGGGGTAAAACATGATGGGTTAGTCACTTTTATTTAAAAAAAATAATGTTATTCTATTTGGACTGACAGATGTTAAGATTTTAGTGTTGGCATTAATTTGTTTTCTTTTAATTATACAATTACTACATTCATTTTCCTTAGTGAAATGAAAAAACATCCCAATTGCCAAATACTGATGATATGTTTTCAAGGGGCTCAATGTTAGTCTCATTAGGTTTCTGTTTTTCAGCTGGCAAAGTTTATGAAGTCAGTATTTGTTAATCTTGAGAGAATTTTACTAGTGCATTTTAAAGATAAAATTACCACTTTCCTTAAGCGATTTGTGCTAATATTTGTCCTTCATTATTAGAGCAACAAACGTTTTTCACTTTGTAGTCTTATGCAATTTAAATGGGTTTCATCTGTTCTTCCAAAAACACTAATAGAATACTGTACCTGCTGCATGTTTTTACAAAAAATATTTTTTGTTCTTCATCTTTGCAAGGTATGTTTATCTACAAGTCTGCAAATCAATATGAGATTTGTTTTATATTTTTAAAAATATTGATTTGAGGTTTAATTCTAAGTATCTTCATATGGTACTTCTGTTGTGTATTTGTTTTAATATTTAAGAAAATAAAAACAGTTGCTTATAATACTAATGATAATGTTTCTAAAAAGACAGAGAGATGAGCTTTATCTCCCCTGTGGTAAATACTGCCCCATCTACTCTATCCACATGAAATATTAAATTAAATATTAGCAGAACACCAGAATTGTCTTAGATTCTTCTCTAGTTGGCTAGACCTTCAATAGAAAAATGCAGAGAAGAAACAACTTTGATATAGATATTGTTATTGATATGTAGAACATTGATAATAACCAAAGAACTAAATTGTGAATTTTATATTTTGCAGTGGCTTTTAAATATATTTTCCTATTTTAGCTTCACAATTTTCCTGTTGATATGTATCAGCCCCAAGACACAAACATTCAGACCAGTGAGAAGCACATCTACCCTTTAGCCCATATTAGCAGTCACGAATTAAACTTGTGAGTTCTGACCGCAGGCTTGTTACCTATGTTCCACCATGCTTTCTACGATTAGAAACCATGAAATGTAGAAAATAAAAATGTATTAGGAGGAAAGAAGACAATCAAATCTTTTTCATTCACATTATGATTTAAATTATAAAATACTGAAATCTTAGATGATCAAACTTTCCTCTTTAAGGAGTTTTGCTTGAATGTGACAAGGGATGCTAACCTAGAAGAATCAATCATATTGATCATGTAATGCAAATCACGGAGAAACGAATCAAGCCTTGTGTCATCATACAAGTTTTTTACTTCATTTGCAGCTGCAAACATTTTTTGAGACATTCCTGAGGGCCAGTTCACCTCTGCAGGCCTTGGAAACTATGAAGGAAGCAATCAGCAAACTCCTACTGGCAGCTGAAGTCTTCAGTGAAACATCTAATCTGGGACCAAAGACTTCCCATAGGTAAGACTAAATTTTAATTTAAAAAGAAAAAATCTACCTTCTTAAAATTGTTAGTGAGAATATATCTTAATTGTAAGTAGGTGGCCCTTGTAAAATTTTATGTGACTGTTGTACAAATATGATATGTTATACATATAAGCCAGTTTATAGATTCTAAAGCTTCAGAGTGTGCTACACATTTGTTAGTATCCAAATGGTGATGACAAGAACTACAGCACAAAATTTTATATTAATTTTTAATTGCAGTTTCTTTTCCAGCCAAGCTATTTCAGTCATATGAGCTTAGTGTAACTTAATGTGATTTTGCTTGTACATAATAAATTTTCTTCTCAGGGTCTTAGACAGTTTCCTCATTGCTAGAAGAATACTCAATAACTGAAATTTAGAGGAGGACAAGCTTTTTTGGCTAGTAGTTACAGTCCATGCTACTTTAAGTTTTGGACTCCAAGGAAGAAAGGGACAGCAAAAGGACCTGGGTAAAGAAGAGCTGTTTACAGCATGGTGGCCGGGAAGCAGAGAGCAAAGGAAGAAGGCGGAGAGGAGATACACCCTGCAGGTCACAAGTCGGTGGTCCACTTCCAACCCGGCTCTGGCTGGTCAGCTAGAGCACCCTCAGGATCAAAGCACCTTCGCAAAACCTGAGGCTTTGAGGCCTTTCTAAATCTAAACTATCGAATCACATATTCCTATGATTTCAAAAGTGTGGAGAAAGAAAGAAAAACTTTTTATTAACACGGTTCAATTGTTTTGATTGGCTTTGTTCTGTTGGATTTTACTATCTTTAAAACTAAAAAAAAAGTTCAATAACTTCTATCCTCATTTCTCAGTTTATTTAAATGCAACTTATTGTCTTTTTCTATCCAGTGTGTAAACAAAACCCAGAGATGACTCCATTTATTATACTCATAGTTATACTTGCTATGTGAATGAGTGCCTAATATGTAGGAGTAGAAATCTTCTCCATTTTGAGGTTTATATGGGATAACTTCATCATTTAATTTTTTTTTATCGGTACCAGGGATCGAACTCACGAGCATGCACTTGCAAGGCAGGCGCTTATGCCACTGAGCTAAATCCCCAACCCCTCATCATTTAATTTTATATGCTATGAATAACTTAGATACTTTTGTATTTTCCTAAGGAAAAAATAGACTCCAAATTTTTTTAAAAACCCCGTTACTTGTCATTTTCAATAATTCGAGCCACTAAGGTTTTTAATTAGGCCAGATATTGAAATTTAATCACAGCAACTATTAACAATATAATACCAAATATGTTACCTTGTGTTTTTATTTCAGGTGTAGGTTATGTTTTCAGCTTTTAACGTTTGATATTGGTTATGGCAGTTTCAGGTATCCTGTAGTGCTTCAGGTGAGTATGCCGATGCCTTCATGAGTGTGTGTGTATGTGTGTGTGTGTGTGTGTGTGTGTGTGTGTGTGTGTGTGTTTTCATACATAGCACCCAATGCATAAATAACAACTGGCATTAAAGTCAACTATAGGCTTTGTTGTATTTTGGTTGAAGGCCAGTACATGGGTAAAATATGGGTTCTGATCTTCACTGCAATAAACATGAATTTTTCTGTGGTTCAACTACTACTTACAAAGAAAAGACTAGTATGTGTTAATGGAGAAAAGCAAGACATACAAATAGTAGAAAATAGCAGATTAGTCAGATTCTATTATACATAAGGCTATGGGAAATATAGGTCTGTTATGTTTTATGTATAGACATCAAGTTTAAAATTGGCATATATTTAAATTTTAAAACCATGGTAATTTTGAAATACTTTTTTCCTGACACATTGAATAGGGATTTTGTACACACTGATTCTTTACGAGTGTCTGCAATTAAATGAACATTTTAGATAATTTTCCTAACTATATTTTTACTTTTAAACTATCCATCAAAAGGTCAAAAATATAAACATAATTCATTTAATTAGTTGTTATTGGATTTTGAGAAGGGAAGAACAAATTAAAATTATGAATAATAAAAATTTGACTTCTCCTAGCATTTATTTGTTTGCCAACTATAATGCAGAGAAATCAATTACAGATATTTGGTTAAATAGCTTTAAGATCTATCTATGAAAAGTTTAAGGATTTAAGAAATGACATATTTTAATGGTCATTTATTATTTTGCACATATATTTAATAGTTGGTATTATGCTTTTTAAATGTCTAGTTCAGAAGAACTATTACATATAGTCTTTCAGGAACACAGACTCTTTAATTATAAAGGATTTCAGGATAAACCAATGTGGCTTTATAATACCTAGTTAATTTTCTTTTGTATTAGAGAATTGTACTTTAAAAGAACATCATTAACTTTTATAAAATTGCTGACCTCCTAAAAGACCACTAGATGTCAGTTCTGATCTACAATCCAAAAGGAAATAAATCATGTCTTACAAGTCTGCTATAAGTTACTGAAAAATATTTGCTGTGCTTTACTCTTACAAAGGTGCATGAGCATTTACATTTGCAAGATGATGGTAATATGGATTTTGAGGACCAAAATACAGAAAAATTCCTTTTAAAAGACACTTTTGATTTTCTCTTCTCCAATAAATCTTCACTGTCTGTATTTTCTGAGATATTTCAGAGACTTTATAAATCAGGTGTATTTAAGGTAAGTGCATATTTCTGGTTGATTAATATTTTTACATTCATTATTCAGGTGCTAGTTTTTCACAATTAAGCAGTTTGAAAATTCATTTAAAATTAATTGGCATGTTCCATTATATTCTTAAATTTTTCTCACCTAAAGCCCAACATTACTATTAGATCAAGTGAGTGTACAAGTCAATGATTGTGATGAAATTATGATCTAAAAATGAAGTAAAGATATTTATAATTCCTAAAAAGTTTATAAATAGTAGACATGTATATTATAGAATATTTTTAAAGGAATGCTACCATTTTTTAGAGCTAGTCTAGAAGTGTTTTGGGGCAGGGAGGTCCCAAATTGTTATCAGGGGATTTTAAAACTATAAGATTAATGTTATAAAGTCTGCATGCCTGTTAATGTGTTTGGTTAAGTGCTGATGATCAGGGTGAAGGATTCAGAGTAGAATTGGCTAATTGTTATGGCATATTAACACAAGTATTGTTGATACATTAAAAAGAACTATACACTATAAAACTGTATACTGCTCTTCACATATTTTTCTGTTTTGAAACCTATATTTGGGTAATTTGAAACAGTAGAATGAGAAAATTGCTGTTATGTTTTTGACAAACAGCAGCAGTCCAGCTCTCAAGGATGGATTACGGAAATAAAGGACATTGGATAGCAGTGGGAAGAGGCATCTGCTTACTTCAGGCTGTGAAACTCCAAAGCAGTGCTGTCCCATACTTGATATTTGGTATAAATACTCCTTTCAGGGTCTTCCCTTCAGTGCCCAGAAAGACAATGGGAGATTCTTCCCAAGTTCCCAAACTGGCTGCCAAGTCCATTCTGCCCTCTTGTGCTCACCCCACCGAACTCACTAAAAGCATCATTGCGTTATTTCACCCCAGACTAGCTTGTCAGATATGAAGTTTTCTTATATTACAGATACTGCTTTGATAAGTTCAAATTACTGTTCATCATGTAACATTCATTAGGTTAGCTGTTTGTAAAGTTTAAAATTTGCTTGTGTGAAGGGGAGGCCAGAGGGGTAAAGATGATTTGGTTTTTGAGCAGTTTCTTGTTTTTTCCTTACTCTAGGGTGAAAACTATCAAAAGGAACTCAGTCAATGTCTGTTATTAGATGAAATTGATTCAATTAGGACTTTCGTAAAGGAAGTTGCGAGTCTGGGACAATTCCAGCTGGTAAAACATAAGTGACTTGATTCATGTTGAGTACTGAGATAACGATAACGGTAGATCAGCTGTAAGCTATCTGCATTTGACTTCAAATAAAGATATTACCTTATAAAATAAAAATCTTGGAAGTGTCCTTCCTTTCAGAGAGCTAAATAGTAACATATATAAGATCTGTATAATTTATTTTAAAAGTTTGCAAACAAGTAGTGATTTATTAAAGGTAAAAGAATATGATATTATAACTACTAGGATTTGACAATTCTCCATAGGAAAAGGTCAGCATTTTATCTTTGGAACATTTACATGCAACAAATATTAATTTCTGATTGTTATACCTTTTAAGTTTATATAAAATAAAATAAAATATAATTAAATATAATAAGAATATTTTAGAAAACTATCTAAGTCTTAGTTTGTTGTAACTCTACAAAATACCAAAGAAAACAACTATAATGGCTTGCACTGGTTTCAGTCTTTAAAAATAGTATATATTTTTTTCCACATGTTTTCTTGGGTTCAATTAACTTACTGGACATTATCAGAGGATATTTATTACATATGAACATCCATGATAGGTACATGCTTAGTTTCCATTTCTGAAACTTTTATAAACTAAAATAATTTTCATTTTCCACCATATAAAACAGAATTTTAAAAATATTTCAAAAGAAGTTTATTAATAAGTTTATTTTTGGCTCAAGTCTTTTTTAAAGTTTCATTTAAAAATCTATGTATACATATGTACTGCTTGTCTGAGTTGTAGCCAATTTACTAATAAATGTTTGACGTTTATTTTATAATTTAGTCCTCTTTTGGGGTATTCAAGACAATTTAATTGATATATTCAATCTTTTAATTAATTTACATATAGTAAGTATTATCCTCATGATAATTTGATTCAATACTCTAGAAAGATAATCAAAGAGACCCGGGCTCACCTTTTAGGAATGTGTAACGTAGGACACTGCGAATGCAAAGAATGTTTTTCGGTGAACTGCAGTGGAAGAATTAAATTACTGTTTTGCAGAAGAGAGGCAAACCCTAATTTCCTGATTCCTGGGGTAGAAATTAGATAATTGTAAGGATTGTGTGTGTGTGTGTATATGTGTGTGTGTGTGTGTGTGTGTGTGTGTGTGTGTGTGGTTACTTTTTTTCCCTTTGACAAAATTCACTTGCAACACAAGAAGATTTCTCCTTATTTTTCCTATTATTTGGCTCCCTCTGCTATTTAGTTGCTTTCAGGTATCTTTAGCAGGAAGGAAAATCCACCGCTATTTATATGAAAGAAAAGAAAACTCACCCTATTAGGAAATATGGGTATTAACAAAATTAGTCCCTTGTAAAGTAAAAAGTGACATTTATTTCTGCAACTACACAGAAAATCAAATCATGATACTAACATATTGTTAATCTATGAATACACTAATTGATTTTTTAAAATATTGAACTAAATAGAAATCCTTTTCTAGTAATACTATATTTCAGCTCACTTTCCATAACTTACGCTGATATTTTGTGTTTATATATTTCTCCTCAGCTCTTCCCCTCTAATCCACGTATTCAATCTTTGATTCATGAATTTTATGATACAAGAAATCTTATGGGAAAACCGGGCTCAGTCCTGACTCTTTTAAATATATTTGAACAATTTTGGCTCATGAATAAAAAGGCACGGCTACATCCACTGGAATGGTAAGATAGCCACAAATTTGAATTGTACAATCCAAAAAAATCTCCAGTCTAAAGATTGATTTCAAAAACCTTTGCCTATATTAAAGAAATCACCAAAAAGAAGTGTATCCAAAAATTCACGCTCTGGAAAATAAATGTCTTCAAAGCACTGAAACCATAATGATTCTAGTGGTCTTCAAAAACTGCAACAAAAATATATCCAAAAGTTTTTCAAACCAAGACTTGAATCCACTATAAAGTTATGCTTAAAATTAAAAGTTTCAGTCTAGTTTTGTGCTACGATATATATCCTTGTGTTGCTGGAGAAATAATTAGGTGAATGCTGTTATCATCCAAGTGGCACTGGATGAAATATAGAGGATGATTTGGAGGCATGACTTTATTCTGGGAAAAACTTATTGAAATGTATGTATGTGTATCATGCGTTTGTGCTGCTTCATTTGGTAGTTCCCTATGTCCACTTCCATTCTCATGAGAGGTAGAAATGAGAGTATGCGAGGGAAATGATACAAGTGAGACACTGATGCCTTCAGTTCTTGGGTAAGTTGGCAGCACCTAAACTTTTGTCTGCTTTGCTTTTAGAGGGACTGAAGCGAGGGTGTATTTGACTCTTCTATTGCCAGGAAAGCAGACTCACACCTAAACCTCCTAGGGAGATGAAACACTTTTCATCTGTATCTCCTGTAGTTATCCTGGAGAACAACTTTGGTTCTGTCGACTTACATTTTGTTTCCTTCTGCCCCTGAAGATAGGAAAAACAATTTACAAAAAACTTTTATAATTAAAAAATACATACAATCATAAATTTAAAGGTTTCTTACAGAATATCCCAGGATCAGAATACATTTTAATTGCCACAAGTTTATGAACTTGGCTTTTTGCCTTAATACCTGAAAGTTGGAACCTAGCAGAAGGCTTGTTTGTATGCTTGAAAATTAAGTAAAGTAAATTAAGTAAGTAAAGCAAGACAGGTTTCAAATCACAGAGAGAAAAACCACTTTGTTTTTACTTTGCACTCACTCACATAATCCAAGACTCTCTCATTTATCATTATAGGGCGGAGAACAGACTTGATTTCCCAAGGAGCCTATTTAAGTATTGTTTTTAACATTGAATAAGTTCCCTTGAGATGCGCAAGCTTTACATAGTTTGTTCTCCAGCAAGTTTTTCTCAGGTTTCATATGTTGTAAGATGAAGCAATCCACTGATTTTAAATGCAAATGACTGGATTCCTTTCCAATAAGGAAAATTATAATGATGTGTTAAGCATAATTAGAAAGGATCTATGTACAGACTTAGATTCAAAAACCTCTATTTTCAATCATGTGTAGTGGCATATACCTGAAACCTCAGCACTCTGAGAGGCTGAGGAAAGAGTATTTCAAGATTTATTACAATGTGGGCAACTTGTAACATAGTGAAACCCTGTCTGAAAATTTAAAATATTAAAAATGGAAAAGGGCTGGGGATATAGCTTGGTGCAAAAGCTCTGGGTTTAATCCCTACTACCAAAAAAAAAAATTCAGCTTTAATGTCTGTTAACTATGGCAGGTAAGATTCTGACCTTTCTGAGAATCAGTTTTCTCATCTATAAAATGTAAGTTATGCTACTTACCACATACAAATATAATTTCAGGAGAAATACACAAAATAGTGTCTATGTGCCCAATGCTGTGAATATTCATAGGTATAAATGTCAGTGTACTTTCCTCTTCATGCTTCTGTGCCATTCAAAGATTGTTTTCTCTTCTCTAGTGGGAATAATGTTTGTTTTTGTTTTATAAGGAAAGCAAGACATGTTTGAAAGAGTTATCTAAACACTGAGAAAAATTAATTTTAGATGTTTATCAAAAAGCAATTACTATATTGCTCCTGGAAAAATTTGTAAGTTGTACTTAGTTTGAAGTCTCTTTAAATTTACCTGAAAGCATAAGCACATGTAATAATCGTTTATGCACCACCCCAAGGAGATGAATACATATTGTAGCATTTTACTGATCAGAAAACTGAAGTCTAAGAAAATGAGTTACTTGCTCAAGTTGCACAGCTAATAAAAATAAACTTGAGACTAAGATCCTGTTTGTTTCATCCGTAGACTAAAATGCTTTTTTTGCAGTCCATCATGCAGACAGGGAAATCATCATTGTCCTTATCTTTAAAATGTCACTTCCAGTGTTTTTCTACAAAAAAAAAAAACATCTTTATATACCTAACTTACTTGTGAGGTCTAATGACTTCATCTTCCTTTTAAATAAAGATATTTTACTTTCAGCATCAAGATGAGGAAAGATAATGTCAGAAAAGCAAGAGTAATGGGTAACAGTCATGTATGTGCCTCAAGGCTCAAAACTCAGAGATCCCAGTGGAGTTACTGTATAGCTGAATGGAATGGAAATATTAAAATCAATGTGCAGCATCTGTTAATTTTCACTTTATTTGAAATAAAGTTACATGTGCATTTTGTTCTAAGAAAATGCTTTTCAAGAACAGCTAGATGAATTCAAAACAAATAACTTACCCAAGAAATCACAGCAAGATGCCTTTATGTACAGTGTCTCATTCTAGTAAGACAGTCATGTTCCAAAATTTAGTGTATGTACTTCTCAGTGTTGTATCTTTTCCAAATTTCACCTGGAGATGGTGTGTCATGGAATTCTGAGATTTTCATTTTTTAAATTTGGCCTTGTTCTGGATTGAACTTTAAATCTGTCTGATATTGTGGTTGTTTTATGTGTTTCTCAGTCTTTAGGAAGAAAGAAATATTTTAAAGTAAGTCTTAACTGTCATTATTTTTACCTCAAATTATTTTATTGTACGTATCAAATAAAGCAAAGGCTTTTGGGAGTCAATATGTCATGAAATTATTACACCTTCTAAAATTAGCATTTGATTCTTTATCCTTGATTTTTCTTAGTTTCCTATCTGATAGTTGTACCTTAAGAAAAGCACAATATGTCTTCTCTTTTCTCTGCTATAGCACCCAGAACAATATTTAGAGAAGTAATTACATATAAAATGTTATTTAACACAAAGCATTTTATTTAATTCTCATTGCATCTTTGTGAAGTAAAGCAAGTATTGTTATCTTAATTTTGCTGTGGTGAAAATAAAGGCAAAGAGCACAGACAAGTCATGTTAAACTGTTATGCCCTGAGTTCGCCATCATCAAAACTAGCAATGTTTCTGCCTGTGATTTTGGTTAGTTTGCTGCCAGATTTAAGGATGTAAGGGCAATATTGGCAAGCATCTATTCATAGGGTAGAGAAAATGAAACATGCCAAGATATAGCTAATCTTTACTGTTTCTCAGAGTTTGAGGACAGATGCCCTAGTGACACTGGTCATTTATGGTAGGATACACTTAGCTTTCACAGATTCTGTGTTTAATTTCAGAGTGTGTTTCAGAGTTTCCAAGGTTTTTTGTTTAAAGACTCTGTAAGTTTAGCCAAAGTTCTCAAGATGAATGTGTGTTCTGAGTCACTTCGTTGGACTTAGGCTATCAATCTGAGGTCATTGAGCTCCGGACTGAAAATGACTCTTTTCCACAGTTTCTTTCAACCATGCTTCTACTGATTAGAGATGATGAGATTTTCATTTACCTCACTGGAGGTTAGATTGCAGCTTTCAGGAAAGATATCTAGAAAGTGTTTCTTTGTCTTCATCAAAATAACTCTGCACAAACAGAAGAAAGATAGTGCGTTTGATAAAATTTCTATGAATGTTGCTCATTTCTTTAATCCAGAGTTGTTTTTGCAGGAATTCTTCCATGGAAGATGAGAATATGGAAAAACTACAAACTTCATTTGATGCAAATGACAGTAAAAAAGGTAAAAACATATAGTCTCATTTGGTTCAACATCAGAGTATTTCTTAGCCAAAAGATACAAAAATGTTTGCCTTCATTAGCAATCAGAAGTGAAATTGGACAAATAAATGCTATTTTCCTTCAAAATCAGAAGTTTCTTCTTGGAAGATAATAATAACAAAGTTGGAAGAAGAATAGGGGGATAAATATTCTCAAAATAACTTTAGAGGCATAATCTAGAACAAATGAACTAAAAGGACACTTAATAGCAAATAAATTGTTCATGCAAATCAAAAATTCTACTGCTAGATACTCATTTCAAGGAAATAATTAGGAATGTATAAAAATGAAAACAAATAAATTGGTAATAAATGAAAAATACTACAAGCTACCACTATTGCCATAGAGTAGATTGGATACATATATGGAGTTATAGTCAATGAAAATTTAAGGTCATTCCAATATCATGGAAAATATTTATGTCATGGTAGACATTCAAACATATTGTTCAGTGTAACAATTGGCTATTAGTGAAATGAATCTCAAGTCAAATTAATGTTGATTTCAAGTTTTCTTTGTTATCTTTATTTTCTCTTCTAAAGAATATCTGAGATTTTGCCATAAAATATTTATAATTTTAAGAAAAAAACTCTAAGATGTTCCCACTCATATTCTATGCTTTAAAAAGTTCAAAGCTTTTCCTATTAGAAATCAGAATTTAATCCAATAGAGTTCTCAATGTGTGTGTCCTAGACTGGTCAATGGTAATAGCATCACCTGAAGGGTTAGAGACTCAGGAACTCAATCATAATCTCAGGATTAGAACAACCAGTAATTTGCATTTTAACAACCCTTTCAGATGAGTTTGAAGCATGCTAGAGTTTGAGGACTACTAAATGAATAAAAAAGAAGGAACAGTGAAGCATTAATGATAAATGAGGACTATGACTGCCCTTCTCTATCCTATCATTTTTATCTTTAAATGACTTATTTAAAAGTCTGTGCATTTGTATTTATCCATTTTTCCCATAAATATCTATTAGAGAGTTTTCTAGATAGGTTAGTACAGGATAAGTAGTGGAACCAACCAGATATAATTTTTAAATTCTAATAGTTTGGAAAATTATACTCCCCAGATCATACAACTAAGAGAAACTTCAGTGGCTCACATTCAGGCAAAGAATGGCATTTAGACAATTTGTTTTCTTCATTAATATTTTCCTAAGTGAAAATCATTCAATTGTACTTCCAGTCAAGTAACTTTGGTTTTATTGTGGTTTCCAGCTTTACTTAAAAATGTTCACTTGTGTAATGAAAGTAAAATAACAAAATATGAATATGACTAAATTATCACTTGCTTAAGATAACAAAATATGTGTCTTCAAATCTTAATAGTCTTCATTTTAAATTTGTTTCTTTTTTTTTCAGCTGCAGCTCCACAAATTTTAAATGAAAATAAAGATGTACAATGCAGTAATGGTGAGTTGAGATTAAATTTCAGCAATATAATCAAAGGTTCAGGCACAACCCTTGTTTGAAAAAGCATTTTATTTTATTATATTTGAGTACCCTTGGCTACTAATTTTAAGCAGATTTCAAGAGGTTGCATTTATGGTTGAGACAGTATCTGTTACTTTTGCATAAAAAATATTGTAAGTTATCTATCTTTGAAAATGAAATGATGTTTGGATTTATTTATCCACAGTAACATCCAAAGTCATTTTGAGGGTTCTGAGAGGTTCTAAGTGTTTATATTGATGGTCCCTCTAGGGAAAGAGGTTGGCTTAGTAGCCTTGTACGTTGATCTTTAGGGATCTCTATGCTTGACATGATTTCTTTCTAGGCAGATGATTGCTGTGATGGAGAATGCTTGAGTATAATTGTCCTTATAATAGTCCAGAGTTTTTGAGCCATTTTTCAATTTATTTTGTTAAAATGTAAGAATTTTTACCAAACCATAATGTATTACCACAATAGTCATGCAACTATATCTTTCAAGAAAATCTAACTCAGTTTTAAAAATCGCAAGGTTTTAAATTCATGAACAGGATTTTGAAGATGGGTCTTCAGGTTTTTGTTCAATGTTCCTGAATTTTCTTAATATTCAATAGTGTATGATGCAAAAAAAAAACCTTCTATAGAGTATGCTTTTTACTCAATGCATATATTTTAAATATGGCTATATTTATTTTGTTTTTGGTGTTAAAATTAGATAATTGAATCTTGTACAAAGAAATCAATTCCAATAAAACATTAAAGTTGAATAAAATAAAATGTATGGGCTTAGGCTTAATTCATTATAAATAGAAGCTCTAATAAAACGCTTCTTCAAAATACAGATTGGTTCCTTCATAACATTTTAACACTGACACTGAAATCTTGCTAGGCTGACAAATAATACAATAATAGAATTAATAGGGTTCACAAAGGTATCCAGTTAAAATAACACTTTAAAGAAGGTATTGTTAGTAAGGAACAGAGCATAGTTACTACTTATGTTGTCCCTTCCTTGTGTTTACTGCCTGGGTCCCTATCTTTAGAAAAATAATGTTCTGTATTCTCTTTGGACACTATTGTTTAGAAAGTGATGGAATATGACTAGTAAGAAAATGAGGAGCAAAATTAGATAAACAAATGCTGGGCATCCACTCTCTGTCAGTCCTCACCTTAGAAAACCCCTTCACCTCTTCTGGAATCTGTTCTTAGTTGACAAATGAAAGAATTGCATTGGATGATCTCTTTTTTTTTTTTTTTTGATGGTTTGTTTGTTTCTAGGTAACATGGTAGGTGAACATGTTAGATAATGTCTATGGCACTGTGGCACTGTTCTTGTTTTTCTGTAGATAAAATCTGGTACCACCTGGACTTTCCTAATTAATTGCCTTACTTTTATGTTATAAAATGTTTTAAAATTTATTCAATAATGGGTCAGAACATGTAGGATTATCTTTAAGATTCCTGGTTATTTTGTGTTTAATATGAATTATGATTATCCCTCAAGAGAGCAATAAAATTCTGTGGTTAAAAGAAATTCATTAAAAACAACCCCAAACTTGGAACTGCTTTTCTCCATAACTTGCTAAATAGGCTAAGCAGCCTGCTATCACCTACCTCACACTAGGTTCTCTGTAGATCTAAGGTAAGCTGGCCTGAGACAAGTTGGGACTGGGGTGGGAAAGAGGCTGAGGAAACACCAGGTGTTTGCTGACAGCAGTGCTGGTGATCCAGCTGAAGATGATGTCAGAGTAAATCAGCTTTCAAGCAGGGGTCTAGGATCCAGGCTCAAGCCAGAAGTAGAGTTTCTGGGGAAAAAATAGGTCAGAAATACAAAGATTTGTTCAGTTTAATTGCTTTTGTGCATAATGGTAGCTAATTCTGAGACACAGTCCTAAGAGCTAGACTACAGCACACATCGTCACAGAAATAAAATAACCGTGGTCTTGTTGATACTCTGTTGTCTTGGGAGAAGCAAATGGATGGGGAAGAAGAGCTTGTGAAACGCCGTGGTTACCTTCTTAGGAGCTTAAGTTTGACTCTGAAAATAGTGAAAAACCACTAAGAATTGGAGACATCATCAGATTTGATTTTAGAAAAACTGTTGTGACAACTCTATGAAAGAAGCAGAAGAGGCAACTGACATAATAACCTCCTTTCTCTAAATTTAGTTTTATAGATTTCTGTAGTGACGTCTGTTGTCTTTTGTGTTTATATGTTGTAAAGTATTAGTGAACATTTTGTAGAAGACCGTACAAAGATTTTGCTGATTTCTATAGAATTGTCTTGGGTTTTTTGCAGAAATTTCCCTATCAAAAAACCCTGACAGAACAAAATACTTGTTGATATTTCTTTGAAGAACATTTCACTAGGTTACAGGTTAATTCGTTCTATCTAAACATTTACATTGACTATAATTTAACAGGCATTAGTGAATGAACCTCTTAAATTATAATATGCATGTGCCTCCAAAGCTATTTTCTTTTTATTTTTCACCAAGATACTGCTGTAAAAAGTTGTACTAAGGAAGAGAAAGATTTAGTTAATGTCTTAGAATCGGTGGTATGAAATTATATTCTATATTCCAGAAAAGGAGCAGAAAATAGAATTTCCTCCTTATGCTTGATGACAGTTTCTCACGAGAAGGTAGCCTGGGAAACGAGTTGTCTCAGGCTGCCCCGTGGCTGTTTTTGTGTGAGTGTTTACTGTAATGCTGGAGTTTGCATTCTTTGCTTCACCTTGCTGTGTGTAAACTACTATATCAACCTAATGGCAGTTTAATGACACTTCCCATGAGGAAATTTTCCTCATAGCCTGCTGGTTCCCTTCTGTCACCACCCCATAGAGTCATTGCCCACTTTTCCACAGTTGTTTGATATATGCCTCAGATATCACATACATCAACTCACAGGACAGACATTTTCCCCACCTCTATGCCTTTAAATTTTCAAGGCTGAGGGAAAAAAAAGCCATCTGTACAATAGCAACTAAAGTCAACAGCTGCTGTCTGTAAATTCTACGATATTTGACAAATTGAAAATCCAGCTGAAGTCACAGATCAACTATGACCAAGATGTTGAATGGGCAGTCAGCCGGCAGTGATTACTGAAATTCTTCAAAAGATTTAGGAAAAAAACACCCTGATGATATATGCTTTTGAATAATTAACCATTTCACAGTTTTCTTTGCTGTTTTTGTTTTTAATCAGATAAAGACACAGTATGCCATCTCACACAGATCTTTACACATCCACATTTGGACCTAAATCCTGAATTTGATGCAAAGATCAGAGATTATTACTCGGAAGTCCCATTTGATGTGGTGATGCTGACAATTGGAGCAAAAACTTCTAAGTGTCAGTGCCAGGTGCACCTGCATGAGCAGGCGGGACCCAGGTAGGGGACCCTGGCTGGGACCAAATGAGCTGGCCCTTGGGAAACAGGTGCCTGATGCAACCTTGGAAAGTGGCTCAGGAAAGCTGAGCCGCAGCACCATTTGGAAATATTGCCAGGGTGTGAGATCCTTCACTTGTTAGGCAATAAGTATTTTAAGTGGATGCACTGGTGCTCCACTGATTTACCGGCAACCTGTGGCTAACCTGTGCAGCCATGTAACGGGAGAGGGTCTTGCTATATCCATTGAGCGAATGTCTTTACTATCATCTTCATGTTTTCAGACGGTTAAAGTTAATCCTTTGCGATGGTGTACAGTTTGATCCTTCTACCACAAGGCAACTCTTTAAATAGTCAGGGGTTTGTTGATTAAATATGTTGGTGATTTGTAGGCACAAGATCACTAACTTCCCTATTCCTGCAGTGAGCTTATTATTTATTTATTTACATACTTACTTTGCTTTGAAAGGTACCCGATTCTTCTGATCGTAATTTCAAACACAGACTAGAACTTTACTACATGCTGTGTCTATAGTAAAGAAAATACTTGTCCTTCCCCTGCTGTAGAGAAAGAAATGCATGTGGCATTCCTGCAGACAATCTATTAGAAATGAAACATCACCCATTCACCTGTCTGGGGCCCACCCTTTGTAATTTTGAGCTGTTTGTTTACCCATTCCATGGAGTGGTGTCTATGTTTAAAATAGGAACCATCACCATTTTTGTATTGTTATTATATTATTAAATGAGATTTATGACCATGACAAATAGTTAATATTAATTTCCTTTCACTTAATTAATGGCAGACATAGCTTACCCTGTAATACCGCTCTTGGCTAAATAATACAATGAAACAGATTTAATATTTTCATATATTTTATTCTATAAAAATGCAAAAGGAAAAGTTGAGGAAACTAATTAATGAACAACATATCATTTAGTTATTATTTTAATTGTGGTAAATCTTTATATGGGACTATTCAAAATGACTGTAATTTATAGACTTACACAAGGCACTGTGCTTTCATGCATGTGTACATTTGGAATATGTTCAGTCCCTGAGAATCCTAAATAATTTTAATTAACAAACCCAACATTTATTGGACATCCAACACAAGTAGACACTAGTTCGTTCATAAGTTTTATATGCATAATTGCATTATGTGGCACAGTTTATATTTTATATTTATTATGAAATGGTACAGATTTTACCTATTTTTTTTACAAAGAGTAGGCATTGATGTCTGAATTAATGTGAGCTGAATAAATAATCATTCATGTTCATTCTCTCTCTGTTCTTTCTGTCCTCCCCCTAGCTTTGCCAAATACCCTCTAGGTTTAGGAATGAACAAAATCTCACTGCTGGTGGTGGATGAAGCTCTAGCAGAGGCTGAGACCGTGATCACATATAAATTCTCCATTTATAGAGAAGACCGCCCAAGTCTGCCCTTTTTCGAGGATTTCAAAGCTTGCGGTTTTGTGCAGGTAAGTGAATTCTACATTGCACTTGAGTTGAATTAGAAATGATTTGTTAACCCAGGTGAAAAAAGTCAAACGAAGAAATCATGGGCTCTTAAATTTAAATGTGGTCTCCAAAAGTGAGTACCAGGCGGGTATCTCAGGCATATCACTGTGAATGGTTTTCTTCTTAGTGTGGTGGCTGCTCTCTGCATGTATTGTGTTCAGGACATTGATTGTGGTTTCTGTTTAAAAAAATGTCTGAGTAATAACACTTACTTATGAAATTGGTTTCACATTTCTCTTTTAAATTGTGCTGTTTTTCTTGGATTTGTCTTTGGATCTACTTTTGACATTTTAAACTAGATTCAATGGAATTCATTTCAAAGAATGAGAGGAAAATTTATGAAACTCTTTTACAGAAGGGAGACTGAATGAATGAAATGAAATTTGCTTAGAACAGATATACTTCTCATTTGCTTCTTATACCATAATCATACCTCAAGTCTGTACTTGAGAAACACATGCTATTTTGCAGCCTTGTTTTTGAAGGGGACTGACTGTTATGGTGAGATTTTTGTCTTGTTTGACACTTTTACTCTCTGCTTTTGCCCTTTTGTAGTACTGTATCCATAATCTTCTATAATAGTTTACATCATATAATACAAGTACTCTCACTTCAGATGATTCCAGACAAGTAGTAATGTGGAACAATTCATTCAGAAAGTATAACTGTAAATACACTCATGTCATAGAAAGAGGATGAATATACTACTGGGTACTTGGAAGTTTAGAGGATTCCTTACAGAGAGATATATTCATCTGGGCCTTGGTGGATAGTATGAGTACCATGTGTGCTTGTATATTTATTTATAGGCCAAACACCATAATACTCACATCCTTAATCACAAATATCCCATGTATCCCCCCAAAATTCATATCATTTCGTAAGGATACCTATCTCTGAGACATTTATTTTGTAAGAAATTATGTATCTTTTTATTCATGAATTATCACTAAAATAAAAGGACTTTAACCCTAATCCTAAAAAATATTCTAAAGCAAGACAGAAAGATCATTTTGAAGTTATAGATAGTTGTACATTAAAAAGGTAGAGCAAAATAGGCTTCCATGGACAAATAGATTTACAAAGTAATGGATTAAAGTTAATGATTATTTTTTGCTCTAAGGATTCCATTTCCTTAATGTACTAATGTAAGTTCTTCAAAAGGACCATCACTTAAATTATATATACATATTTAATACAAGGTAAATATATACAATGTGCTGCATATTTGATGTTACTTTAATGGAGTAAATATTAATACTTATTTTTTTGAAGAAACATTGGAGTAGAGTTTGGAGAAACTTTCAAATATGTTTCTGTTCTAGTTTTCCACTTTTCAGTTTGTTTTATTTGAGTTGCTCAATCTTTTTCCAAATTGGAAAACAAATGATAAAGCCATGCCAAAAATGCTAGAAAAAATATGAGTAAAACCCTAGAGGAAGATTTGCTCTTTTTTAAAAAAAATTTATTTAAAGAAAAACTAAACAAAACAGAAAATGGGTAGAAATCATCCATACGTTCAAAGAAAAAAATAAACAGTAAGATATCACTAGTTGATGCTCACAGTCTGTCTTTTTACAAATAGTTGTTCAAGATACAAAAGTGGAACGCATAAAGTGGGAATTCAAACAGCGAGACTGCAAACAGTTCTGTTCAACTATCCAACAAAAACTTAGTAATATAGTTATCAATCTTATACATTTAAACATGCATGCAGTTATCCACATCTTCATTTATGTTGAGATTAAACAAGCTAAAGCAGGCTAAAATCATTCCGAACAAAGTATAATAGTATTGCTGGATTTCACATCATGACACTCCAGGATCAGCCCTGGGTACTGTAGTGTCTTTTTTTAAATTTTTATTTAAAGAAAGACTTAACAAAACAGAAAATGGGTAGAAATAATACATACTTTCAAAGAAAAAAATAAACAGTAAGAAACCACTAGTTGATGATAACAGATTGTCCTCTTACAAATAATTATTCAAGGTACTAAAGTGGAGCATATAAAGTGGGGATTCAAACAGTGAGACTGCGACCAGTTCTGTTCAACTATCCAACAAAAACTTAGAAATATGGTTATCAATCCTATACACTTAAACATACATGCAGTTATCCATATCTTTAATTATGTTGAGATTGAATAAACCCAAGCAGGCTAATATCACTCTGAAGAAAGAATAATACTATTGCTAGGTGTCACATTATGGCACTCCAGGATCAGCACTGGGTACTTTAGTGTCCTTTTTTCTTCACAGTATTTGTTCATTTCATCAGGTGTCATAAGATCAGTTCTCATAAGCTGTTTATAGGTTCTACATGCATGAGTCTTAACAGGTATTTCTATCCTTTCTATATTAGAGGGAGAAACAAAACATATTCCTATAAACACATGAAATGAAAAAGATATATAAGACCATTGTACAAGGAGTTCTACCATAGTTCCTGTGTTGTCTCTTGCTATCTTCAATAGAATTGGCTATATCATCAGACATAGTATAATTGAATGTATCAGTACATTACAGTATTAATAAAAATACAACTTTGTATATAGTATAAAACTTCAAAAACAGGCAGTAATCAAACCAGAATGTGTATCATAATGAGTCTTGTCATCTTCAGTGTAGTTGCCTATACTGTCAGACTTGATACTATCAATCATATTAGTTTTGAGTAAAATCTGTTGATACCAAAAAACAATCAAATAAACCAGATTTAACTAAGATCAGTCATGATAAAACAGTATAAGTCATACAGGGCTCCAGATTAAGTTAATAGGAAATTAAAATGATTACTGTGCTATATCCTGATGTTTTTGGGATAGCAGTCTGTGCCCTCAAATCTAATGCAAGCAGACAAACTGGGACAGCATAAAATCTATCTAAGCAGAGTGGTGCAAGCAATGTGGCTTTTAAATCCTGATACATTATTAACAATATCTTCTGCCATCTTTTTTAAGACTCTCTCTCCCTTTTCACTTCTTCAGGGTGCACTGTGCATTTTTGGGTCTCACCAAGACCCTTGGTTTTAAATTGGCAGGGGCAACCTGCTATTTACCTAAGTGGTTCTGAACCTTCTCTCTCCTGGACTTGATCTCTAATTGTATTCCCTTAAAGCCTGTCTTTCCAACCTATCCATAAATACTGGTCTAGTTGCCCCTATTGCTCTCTGGTTCTCTGTCACATAGAGCATTGTTTTCTCATGTTTGATTTTCAATCCATGTACTATTTTTTATGTCAATTATATTTCCTAAAAATAGCATCTCAGTGGACCCTACCTCCTGATCTACTCTATGTGTGGTTCTTTTTTTTAATTTAGTGTATCAAGGCCATCTATATTAGAGATTATAAGCAACCTTCTCTGCCTCATTTCTGTTATGCTTTTTTTTTTTTTTGCCATCAGTTGTCTGCTTGTCTTCTTCATTCTGTTTTCTTCTCCATTCATTGAGGCCTCTGTGCCACTGTTCTTGGAATCCTAGCACTTTTCTCTCTCTCTAGAATGCCCTGCAGTATTCTCTGTAGAGTTGGATTGGTGGTTGCGAATTTCCCAAGTTCTTCTCTGTCTTGGAAGCATCTTGTTTCTCCATTAATTTCTAGAGACAGATTTTCAGGGTATATCAATTTGGGCTGGCGGTTATTTTCTTTCAGAGCTTGAATATTTCAGACAGTAATCATCAATAGTTGATGATTACTCCAGGCTCTTCTTGACTTGATGGTTTGTGTCAAAAAGTCTGCCATTACTCTGATGGGTCTTCCTTTATAGGTGATCTGTTTCTTGTCTCTAGCAGCTTTTTTTTTTTTTAATCTTTTTTTTTTTTTTTTTTTTTTTTTTTACCAGTACCAGGCATCGAACTCATGACTGCCTGCTCACAAGGCAGGTGTTTATGCCGCTGAGCTAAATCCCCAGCCCTCTAGCAGCTTTTAATGTTCTGTTCTTATATTGAATTTCTGGGATCTTGATTATTATATACCTGGGTGTGGCTCTGTTTTGGTTTAGGTGGCTGGAGTTCTGTATGCCTCATACATCTGCATATCATTTCCTTTTCCTATGTTTGGGAAGTTTTCCTTAAGTGTTCCTGTGAATAGCCTTTGTAGTACCTTTGTTTTTACCCCTGCTTCTTCATTCACATTCTTTATTCTCAAGTTATAGATCCTCTTGTTGTCTTCTAGCCTTTGTATTGTTACTGCTTGTCTCCTTGTTATCTTTTAAAAGTTTTTCCTTTCACAATCCCACATTGCAAACCTGTCCTCCAGTTTGGATAATCTATCCTTAGTCTCTTTCAAGCAGTTTTGCATCTTTCCATAGAGTTTTTAATTTCCTGGTAATCTCTTTGAATCTGCTTTATGTATTCTATATTTTCTTTATATTCTTCAACAAATGGCTCTCTCCTTTGTTTGAGTTCCTCCCTTCTTCCTTCTGTCTCTGCTTGAAGGGTGCCTAGTATCTCTTTTATTAATCCTCTTATATCTTGCTTTACTTGGCTAAACTATTCCCTTTTGAATTCATCTATGAGGTCCTGAAGATATCTCTTTATGTCCACTGGTACCATGTCTGATATTGCATGTTTGCTGTCCTCATTCTCCTTTGTATTTACCTGTGCTGTGTCAGTGTTCTCAGGGTTGGGACCTGGGGACTTTTTGTTGTTGCTTCCTCTTCCCATCTTTTTTGTTTCTTCCAGGAGGCCCCAGTTTCTTTCTTTGTTGGTTACAATTCTTCTGAAGTGTGCTGGCTAGGTGACCCATCCCACTGCAGTGTGCTAGTGAGTTGCAAACAGGGACAGTGTATGCTGGCCCCTCCCCTCCAGATCAGTCAACCTGCTGAGGCCTTCACTGCATTAGTGTGCACCGCCACCATAGGGAGTTGATTTTGGATAACCTATTGGGTCTCAGCCAGGTTGCATGACCCAGGCCAAGCTCACTCCACCAATCCCATTCAGGAAGGGAACAACTGACTGTAGTC